GAACACAGGCCTGGGTGTCTGAAGGAATGCACTAAGAAAAAAGGATTAATTTTCAGCTGGCTCTGCTGAACACATGTACTGTGCGGTGTAAAGTTATGGAGTTGGAAGACTAGCCTTTCAGTGTGTCAGACACAGCTTCTCTGGTCTGAGAGGGGAAAAAAAAAAAAAAAAGGAAAGCCCTATTGCACTTGGGCATGCAAGGCTAAGGGTTAGAAACTTGAGACAATTAGGCTGTCAAAAGTTTTACCAAGAACTGGGGATATCTTCTGGACCAGCACTGTGCAGCAGAAGTTTCTGTGATGATGGAAATGTTCTTTCTGTGTCTGCCCTGCTCATAGTAGCCACCAGTCACCTGTGGCAACTGGGCACTTAAGATGTCTCTAGAGCAAATGAAGGATACCTTTTATTTTATTTAATTAATCCAAATTTAAATAGCTACATGGGGCTATACTGAGAACATAGTTCCAGATCATTATTGACACATCTGCTGCCTATGTTGATTTCATTTTGGCTATCTTGATACACAGATAATAATTATAGTACTATAGATGTTGCCTCAAGTAAAAACCTAGGTTGAGAAAGTTTAGTTAAGGCAGGGGTACAGTTCTACTTTTGTTGTTCAAGGGCAAACGCAGAAGCCATGAATGAAACAAGAAGCAGACAAATTGGTCAAGGCCAGCACAATGCTCACGGTCTCCCAAACTCCTCTTAACCTGTGAGACATACAGGAGCTGGCCGTGGCTGGATGTGTCCTGAGTTGTGCCCCCGGAAAGGCATCCCAATTCTCTGGCATTCTGCACATTTTTAAAAAAGTTGGGAGGCAACAAATGATGGTCAGAAGACCCTGGGTTTTGTGTGATTACAATTGTGCTGGCTTAAGAAGTGTACTCTCCTTGGTTGCCAAGGGAGATTGAATCTCAGCACTGGTACTAGTTATAGTCCCTGCCAAGCCAGGTCACCTGAGGGAGAGCCACAGGGCTCAACCAGTGGATCAATAGGTATGTGTCTCTGTTGCTTTGAAGCAGTTGGTGCTTCACACATTGAGACAAAATATTAAGCAAGACGTCTTATCAAATCACAGCCGAGTCTATACTATGAAAAATATACTTTAGATGATTTATTTGGGTGTCACTAACCTGGTGACAGAATTTAAATCAGTCACAAATAATCTAAAAATGTAAAACACATTTCAAAGTATGTACTTATGCATGTAATTCTGGGGACGTGTCTGATAAAGAACACAGTAGCTTTACGTGTTTTTAGAAGACTTAAGTCACTGGAATTTTTGGTAATAATCAAATCTTAGAAAGAAAAGTGGGTCTAGAAGAAGAGTAGAAATAACAGGACATAAGAGGCTCAAATTATTTTCTATGCGGTCTTCTTATGAGAGCAATTTCATCTTTGAAAAAAATTGTTTAATAGGATTTCGAAGTGGATGAAACCAAACCCCAATAAAGGCCATATCTTTCCTTAAAACTCTCTCATGGTGTCTCATTGCTTACAGATTAAAGTTCAAGCTTCCAAACACGGAACATAAGACTTCGTTCTCTTGTTCCTGAGAACCTAGAATGGTAGTCTCAATTCTTACCACATCCTGCCTTACATAATGCTTGTAATTCTTGACACACACACAACTCAAGTTTTTTTTACTGTGATCTTTGTTCACAGTACCCACTCGTCCGTAACTGCCATGAGTTCTATCTTCAGTCTCCATCAAAATCCAAGTCAGCCATCATTTCTTTAGGTAGCCTTTTCTCACTTCTCCAGACTAAGTTAAGTATCCTTCTGTGTTTTTATGAACGCATGTTCAGGTCAATCACTGGATTTATTATACACTGATGTGTTCTGTTGTTTCTCCCACCAACTAAACTATGAACCCCTTCAGGGAAGCAAGTGAGTCTTATTAATCTCTGTATCCCCAGTACTTAGCAGAGCGTTTGCTATGCCAGGCACTCCGTCAATGTTTGCTGAAGAAAGGAAGCAATGACATTTTTATCAACATTATTGATAACTCTTCAATCTAGTTAAAATGAAAGTGACCTAGGGTTATATAATTTTAGACGGAGTGAACCGTAAATATAGACACATAAAATTGTTTTATTCCTTATTTATTGATGTTTTGGCCTCAGAGAACCAAAGATGTGAACAGATGTACATTAGGGGCAAGAACTAGGGATACCTCTGAGAGATTTTCGTCAAAAGAGGACACGGAGAAAAGAAACAGGGAATTTTGTGGGGAGTGGATCCATCAGCCCAAAAGCAATAGCCTGAGTATTTAGACAATCAGGTTACAGATACAAATCTAAACATAAAATCTATATGCATCTGATGAAAAAGACATACACTGGTTGCTAAGAATGTAAACCAAATATCAATTACCTGCTTAAAGAGGTTGAATGTGTTTAACAGGTATATTAATAAATTCAACCTTTACCAATACAGAATGCTACCTGCCTACCTACAGCAATTTCTAAAATGAATAATATTACTTGAATTATACTAACATATTGATAATCATATACATTAAGGACTGGAAGGGTTCTCAGAGATAATTGGGTATAATATATTACAGATCAAATACACCAAGGCCCAGAGAAGCTAAATAATTTAGTTGAAAGTGACGAAGGTAGTTAGAAAGGCCAGGACTTTTTGGATTTTTACTATTAAGTTCAGTTTTCCTTCTGCTACGTACATACTGCCTCATAGAAAATCTCACTAATTTTCTCCTAAAATTTATTAGTGAGATTTGTATCCAATCCCAACAAGTTCACTTTACAAGAAAACCAGTAAAAAGAAATAAATTTTATTCAGATGACAGGTTTTATAAACTATTCTCATACTATGGGGAATTTACTCAAGAATAATTCCAAGACTGTATCTAGGGGACAAAATTACTGAGCAATAAAATTTTTTAATTTGCACACTGTATTAGTTAATGGTGCTGAATTTTATGTAACTCTTTTGGACCATTATCAATTGTGTTCCCATTCAGAAAACAAATCTAATGAGCCAATTTATAATCTCTACGATTAACAGAAATAAAACTCACAAATAACTTTAGATTACTTTTGTTTCACTATAATTATTAGCATTTTTAACCATGTTAAAATGGGATGAGGCCATCCTTGTGCATGCAGCATTTTCCTATCATTTTTAAGTTTTTTATTTTTTTCATTATAATGAAAGAACCGTATTTTCAGAAAATACAGCTAAAAAAATACTGAAAATACAGCAAAGGCCAAACAAACAGTTAAAAATGTAATAACTTAATAACTCTATGTTTCTCTCTCAACACCTGACTAAACTATTTAAACAAAAGAGTTTCTTTCTGAAGAGGCCATATGACGAAATTAGGTGATGGAAAAGCTAGAAGAGTGAAAGCTTCCTCAGCTATAAAGCTAGAAGAGGGATGTGGGTGTAGCTTCCCTAGATCCCAGCATGGTAAGCAGATATTACGAGGAGCTGTGAGCTCCCCCAGTGTGAGTGAGGTCATGTGAGCAAGGGGAGCTGGATGAAGAAAGAATCAGTACATTTTTCCAGCTTGTGAGGTTACATGTACTTACCTGGTTTCACCATAATGAATTTGCCTGAAGCCATGTCTGTAGGTTAGTAATCTGAAAATTTATAACTGCACCACAGTGAGTACATGCAATCTTTGGTGCTGTGCCATGATAAGTGATTGATGTTTGATGCTGCTAAGTGCTTAACTCACTGGGCGTAAGGGATATCCAAATATCAAGCAAAGTAAGTAACACTGATCATTGTGAAATTAAGTGTAAGAAACATTTATATCTACTGATATATGCTTGAAAATGCTTACTCATATAAAATTTTCATTGTTATATAAAGGCTTTCATGATGCAACTCCCTGGCTCTTATATTTTAAAAAGTACAGAATAAAATTCTTAACCCTAAATTTTTGTCACTGCTCTTAAGGTCTAAGAATGAAGTAAAAGAGAGAAACACCCCAAACTGGTCATTTTTGAAACCATAAATTCAGTGTGAAACCTGCTTCAAAACTACAAATTATTTTAGACAAATAAATATATATGTTCACATTTATAAAAAATTTCCACATTACTCATAGAAACAAGCTTCATAAAATTTACATACAGAATACAATAAAAATCAGTTCTAATAATGATTTAGCTGTCATCCTCCTAATTAAAAAGTTCTGTGTTTGAGGTATCACTTTAAGAGATGCCAATATGGCACATTTGTAAAACAACCCAGGAGTCTATCCTAAATATTCTACCCAACACAGCATCATCTCTGCAAGACTCTGAGAGGCTGGACTACGCTTGTCTTTTTAAAAGAGGAAGAGAATTTTAATTGTTACAATAACAGAGGAGGCAGGTACTAGACACTCTGCATTTCATGTAACAGTAAAACTTCCTTATAAGTATTTTCATTATCTTCTTGCCAACACCATTCGCTTAAAATGTCCTAGTTAAGACCAGTGAAGCAGCTTCATTTCCTATGACATCCAAAAAAGTTTCAAGATTTAAAAATGACAGTGAACAACTTCACTATCTTTATACATTACCATAGGAAATAAAGCTATTAAATTTTTCAGAGTCAAGAGCAAAGCATTATCCCCTACCTCATTTTATCACTGGAAGGTGGACACTTGATTGAGCAATACTCATTAACTGCTAGGTAGATTACCTGTGTTGACTGGAGTAAAGCCATTTACAATCAACTTATAAAGTAACAACACTAGTCAGACACAGTCATGAATACCAAAAATGATGTGTTTTGTGTGTATAAATATCTATATTTGGGGTGTGGCTATCAAGTAATAAGACTGATTCAATACTTTATAGTCAGCACATTAAAAATCTATTGCCAGAAGACAATGGTCCCATATACGAAAAAAATGTCTATATGGAAAAGGCTGTGATTTATTGCAAAGCATGATTATATAGCAAATTCCAAGGAAGGTCAAATAATTTCTAAAACCAAATTTTAAAATTTAATGGCTTAGGCTGAAGATTCAGTTACTTTTTGCAGATCTCAGAAGGATTAGGGGTGGAAGAATGCTTTTCCTTTTTTCTCTTCTTTTTTTCCTTTTTGTGGTGTTTCCCCCTTTTTGACTTATTCTTTTTTTCTTTTTTCTTTTCTTTCTTCTGATATTTTTGTTTCTTTTGTTTTGAAGTGTCCTCTTCAGTGGAACTGGATGAATAAGACCTATGGGCAATAATAGAGACTGACTGATAACTGCATTTATGGCTAAGAGCTAAATTGAAATGGGATTTAACTGCCTGAAATCATTCTTGGAGCAAAGTGGGGTATAAACAAAGAAACTCGAAATGTGCTTTATATATTTGTATTCTCTTAAAATACAGACTTCAGAATTTTTGCTCCTTGGTCATAGAAGCTGACAAAACAAATAACTCTATTTTGCTCAACTCTAGTATTAAGTTTTAAACTCAGTAAGGATGCAATAATTTTTCTGTGATTTTCAGCTTTTCATCCTGTTGTACCCTTCAAAATCTTATAAGGTAAACAAAGTGGTATTTACCAAGCCTTTATCATATATACAATTCATTTATATACACAATAACTTGTTAGCATATTCTCTTAAAAGAGCTAAAAAGGATGCAATTATGTAAAAAGGGCTATATTAGTACCTTGGTAAAAAAGGGGGGAAAGCTGAAAATTAGCTAAATAAAAGGACTTCTGTTAAATTCCTGTTCAAGTGATACAGATGAGCACTTGCATTCCAAAGTAATTTTCACTAGTTACAAAAAGAGATGTTTTAAATGCATACAAGTAAATGAAAATGATTTATCATTATTCTTTATTTTTCTAATATTCCTCTAATACTAGATTTGGAAAAAAAAACTACGCAATTCCTTCCTCTAGTATTAAAAAAGAGAAAAGTAACAAAAAACAGAAAAGCCATCTCTTAAGATCTTATACAAGTAGGTATACAACAATCTCCCCACACCCAAACTCTAAATGTGTCAGAAGACAGAAACTGAGTCAATTAAAAATAAAAAATAAAAAGACACTTTTTTTTTTTGTTTTTAATGTTTATTCAGTTTTGAAAGACAGAGCGTGAGCAGGGGAGTGGCAGAGAAAGAGGGAGACACAGAATTGGAAGCAGGTTCCAGGCTCTGAGCTGTCAGCCCAGAGACCAATGAGGGGCTCAAAGGCACAAACTGCAAGATCATGACCTGAGCTGAAGTCAGTTGCTTAACCGACTGAGTCACTCAGGCGCCCCACAAAAGACAGCTTTCTAAAAAGGTAGTAGTGAGCTAACCGTTAGAAGTTAAAGCCCAAACTAAGAAAACCTGACACAGACCTACAGTAAGCAAGAAATAAATGCATGAGACTTCAAGTCTGTGTCTGTCAGTGATTCTCATGAATTACTTGACTGAATTTCTTGTTTAGAAACTCCGAGTTTTCCCTCATTTCTGTAATGCTGTATTTCTTTCTCCATTTTGTCTTACTTAGACTTCTGGCTGTTTCCTGGTCTTATTTTCTCATGTATTCTCTTATTCCCTCTTCATCTCTGTTATTGTCAACTCTTGCCTGTTTTCCTGTTTTAAAGACCCTACTTGACCTCTGGATTCTGAGTAGAGCTTGTTTGTACATTTTTCTTTGGCTTTTTGGTCCTGGATTTTAATTTTTAAGGCCCGGTGTTAGACTTGCACATAACAACTCCAAGAGGTGGCAAAATCTCTGCTGAGTATGACTAGAAAAGTTCATTTAATTTCAGGCCCTGTCTGAGGTCTGTGAGACCCAAAGTAGAGAGGCTCAAATAAATAATCTGTTACAATAAAACAAGTATCTTAGAATTTGGAAGAAAACAGATAATTTCATTTTGTCTATACACAATCCTTGCTGTGCTAATGCAAATGATTCAACAATACATTAGTCCGACTATAAAATACACTGACCTCTATCTTCCTATTAGCTTTTATGTTAAATATTATTTGACTCCCAACACTTGAGAGAAAATGAACTTTTCTAAATTATGAAGTAGCTGAGGTGTTGAAAGGTATGTATTAAATGCTCTATGAAGTAACACCTGATTTTCAGAACTTACTCTATTAGAGAACTAGGGTCCAAGTCAGACATTATTATTGTCAAATACCTTAAAAGACATCTGTATATATATGTTTATTCTAGTATATATGAAACTGTACTTGTTAACCATAAAAGAAGCTGCTTCTTAATTCTCGTGATCAATTGCTTTAACCAGTTAGTTGTTAAAAGAGCTGATACTAGGGGCGCCTGGGTGGCGCAGTCGGTTAAGCGTCCGACTTCAGCCAGGTCACGATCTCGCGGTCCGTGAGTTCGAGCCCCGCGTCAGGCTCTGGGCTGATGGCTCGGAGCCTGGAGCCTGTTTCCGATTCTGTGTCTCCCTCTCTCTCTGCCCCTCCCCCGTTCATGCTCTGTCTCTCTCTGTCCCAAAAAT